ACGAAAAATTGTTTTTTCCCATATAAAATACAAAGTAAAGTTTTCGCTCTTTAAGCGACCTCTAAATATTCTTAGATTTCAAAATAAAAAAGGCAATGGGTTAAATGTTTTCGGTAAAAAACAATCGTACGGGGTTAGAGCATTAAAATTCCGGCTTTATTTTTTTTGGGCCACCCCAGTAAACACCTTTCAAAACTTAAATTGAAATCCCCTAAATATTCGGCTTGGAAAAATTAACTTAACATAACTTAACAATACTGACATATTGACCTTTTACCTTTAGTAATTTTTTTTTAAAGATATAGTAAATTCTGTAACAGAAACTATACAATACCAATATACAATACCAATATACAATGCCAGCTCGATGTTCTGGAAATTACAAACGTCGGACCAAAGTTGTCATATCATTTCATGCTCATGAAAGTTATAAAAATACCATAAATATTTTATTCATGTCGCATTTAAAGCTCTTTGATATTTTTAAATTTTTGTGAACTACCTAACTCTAATAAAACTATTAAATGGAGCTGTTAAGTATTTAAATAACCAATCAAACGGAATTAAAAAGCATTTGATAAAAATGTTTAACCCACTGAAATACTTTTGCAGTAACTTAAAGAATTAGAAAAAACCACTGCGGGCATTTCTTAATCCTATTAAAACCCGCTTTTTTCTGAAGTCAATGAATTAAAAAGTTTAGCCCTAAGTAAGAAATGTCTTAAGCAGTGAGTGTAAAAAAGAAAAGTGATCCAGAAAAAAATTTACTTTTGCTATTTACTTAACTTTCATTCCATTTCAATGCACAAAAAAGTTATCCAATTCCATTTTTTGTTAAAGCAATATGAACGCAGAAAAAGCAACCGTTAACTTCCTGCCATTTTATTAACATTCCCCGATTCCAAGTGCAAAATAAAACTGAAAGGCATGAGCAAATGTAAACAGTTACCGAAATGAGATGAAAGCCAAAGAAAAAGTAAAGTACTCCCAGCCAAGCAGTCAAGTTGAGCAAAAGGAATTTTATTAGTTACACACTTCAAATAATCACACACACACACACACACAATACTAAACTATTTACTTCAAACTTTAATCCTTTTAAGCGAAAGTTATTGAAGTGTACTTGTATTCCACTAAATATTTCTCCCTTTTTCTCCCTCCATTTAGGTACACCATCACAACTCTGTGCGACTCAGTTGCACCCGACATTGTGGTCGCCATACTCTTCTGGATCGGCTACTTCAACTCCACGCTGAATCCCCTCATCTATGCTTACTTCAATCGTGATTTTCGGGAAGCATTCCGCAACACCTTGCAATGTCTTTTCTGCAATTGGTGGCGAGAACGCGGTCTGCCGCTCGACATCGATATACGACGCTCTAGTCTGCGCTATGAAACGCGCACCAAAAGTGTCTACTCTGAGAACTATTTGAGCGCCAGCCAACCACCCAGGCGCACCAGCCAGCTGGTCGAGAGTTTATAATACAGCCGTGACGACTCGCTGTTGTCGGTGACGCGCACACCGCCACAGCGGTCCACGTCAATGCAATTGCTGCCAACCCAACAGTCATTGTTGATGAGTGATACGACGCCAAAGCAACCGGCTGCCGGCAGCGGTGGCGGTGGCATGCATCAATTGGCACCACTCCCTCTGCCATCGTACGTTGGCAAACGCTTGCTCGAGGTTAAGCCCAGTGATGGGGCACAAGAGTTGAGTGGCGCTGATGTTAGGCGGCGCGGAGGTGGTGGTGCTGATGACGATGATGACGATGAGCCGCAACAGATACAAATCGAAATACCATTGGCGTATGTGAAGAAATGGAATAAAAGCAATAAATGTACAACAATAACAACAACAGCCGCTGCTCCTCTAACCACAACAGTGCAAACAACAACAGCAACGGTCAATGGTACAGGCACTGCCACTGTGACTACGACCGCAACGACTACAATAACAATAACAACAACAGTAACAACGCCCAAAGGCACCGAAATGCAGGCACACACACACGTTTAAAGTAAACGAGAGAGAATAGTTCGGACATGGGAATACTTAAAGTTTGTAAATAAAATAAATAATTTAAGGAAAATTGTGTTAAGAGTAAAAAAAAATCAAAAATAATTAAGTCAATAGTAAAATTGGAAATGCTACTAAGATGTAAATTTATTTATGAAAAGGCGAATATATAGTATGTACATATATACATACGCACATACTTGTAGGTATGTACGTTCATCAGCAACGCCGAATCTCTTATTTTCAACTGAGCTCCATATAACAGGCGTGTCATTTCTCCAGCATGTCCTTTGAAGCCAAAAACTTCTCCACTTCTGTCGCAAAACAATACCTTCCTCTTGCTTTATTATACGCAGTGGGTTCCGGTTTAAATACGTTATGTTTCTACCATGTCTATGTCATTGCAAAAATCGTGTACCTATTTACTAGATTTATTCTAAAAAACAATAAATGCTTGGTAGAATTCTCGTGAAACGAGACGTCGTCGCCCCATGTTAAATTATGACGGCAGGGATGGCGAAAAATCGTTTTAAAATAGGTACGTCGTTTTGTAGTATGCTTCTCTAGACTACTCCAAAATTTTCCCTATTTGACGTGCATAGCCATAGCTCATGGCCCCACGCCACATTCTTAAATTTGTTTGCATAAATCGAGCAAAATGTACGAAATTTTAAGAAAAAGCAAAGCAATTGTTTTTGAGAACGGGGCGTGGAAAAAATTAAAAAAAAAAAATCACACATACACACAACAAAATTTTTCTATGTAATTTGTTTTCTTGAAAACTTTCTCACATAAAAATTTTTTGGTAAAAAAAAATAGCTTTTGAAAATATGCCATCTCAAAAAAAATTTAAAAAAATCACAGTAGTAGCTCTGAGTATTGCGCAATATTAAAGTGTAGTATATCGGGGTGCACTCTACAATAATTTGAGTTATGAATTTTTTTACACCAAAGTTGAGTAAGTTGAGTACATTACAAATTTACAAATCTTTAAAATTTTTTTTTAGAATTTTTAGTATAATAAAGCGATTGCAAAAGTGGCGTAAATTTTTTTTTAGTTTTCTTAGAAAACGGTATTGCGCATTTTCTATCATAAGAAAAAAGTGCAAAAAGCCGTTAGCATAAAGAATATTAAATATCAAATGTCCTTTCATAGAGAACTAAACTAAATCGATTTGTTTGTGTTTTTGTGCTGTAAAGTTTTTAAAAATGTATTAATCAAGCTCAAATTTCATATTTATTTATTATTTATATTTACCCATCAACCCTAAAAATTTTAAACAAATTAAACACTTGAAGTGTGAACCCCGTCCATTTAGGTATGGAACGCCCCTTATATTCATAATGCCCAGTGTCACGCATTGCGTTCCATACAAAACATTTCACCTTTTCTATTATTCTACTACAATGTGCTAAACGTCTGAGCACTGGTTGCAGGAGCAAATGGTAGGTATAACCATCTAAAACAATTCGTGGCATAGTTTTTAGCATATCCGCTACATTATTGTGTTAATTAAAAGCAAGATGGGTCCACCTCGAGACTAGTTCGGACATTTTTATACCCGAGCGCACTTGTGCACAAGGGTATATTAGTTTTGTTCACATAACGGTTGTTTGTAACAGCCAAAACGAATCGAGATAGATATAGACAAATGTATACATAAATGATCAGGATGAAAAAAGAAATCGATTAAGCCATGTCTGTCTGTCCGTCCGTCTGTCTGTCTGTCCGTCCGTCCGTGTACACGATAACTCGAGCAAAAATTGAGATATCTCAACGAAATTTGGTATGTAGGTTTCTGTTAATCCAAGGTAGGTTGGTATTGAAAATGGGCGAAATCGGACAGTAACCACGCCCACTTCCTATATAACGGTAATTTCCAGAAATACGAAAACTGCGATATTTTAGTAATTACTGAAGATAATTCACTCAAAATTGATATTTATAATAATTTTCAGACAAAAAATAAGAATATTATAAATTTTTGGAAAATGGGCGTAGCCACGCCCACTTATGGTTATATGTGTATATCTTGGTAACCGCTGCACCAATTTCTTCCAAACTTGGCACAGTTGTTGGCCTTAATACAGCATACTAAATCACCAAAAATTTAACAATAACCACGCCTACATCCCATATAACGGTAATTTTCGGAAATACGAAAACTGCGATATTTTAGTAACTACTTAAGATTATTCACTCAAAATTATTATTTACAACAATTTTTAGACGAAAACTAAGAGTGTTGTAAATTTTTGGAAAATGGGCGTAGCCACGCCCACTTATGGTTACATGTGTATATCTCGGTAACCGCTGCACTAATTTCTTCCAAACTTCGCACAGCTGTTGGCCTTGGTACAGCATAAAAAATCGCCGAAACTTTTCAAAATCGGACTATAACCACGCCCACATCCCATATAACGGTAATTTAGAGAAATACAAAATCTTCGATAAATCAGTAAATTTAATATTTATTCAAAATTGATGCTTGCAACTATTATTTACCAAGAAATACGTTGATGGTAAAATTTTGGAAAATGGGCGTGGCACCGCCCACTTATGATCACATATATGTATATCGGTAACCGTTCTACCAATTTGTACCAAACTCGGTGTGGTTATTGTGCTTGCCACATATAAGCAAAACGTTGAAAATTATTGAAATCGGACTAAAATTACGGTCGCTTTTCATATAACGGTAAATTTCGGAAATGCTTGAAACTTCAATATTTCGAAATTTAAGGACGCTAATTTACTCAAAATTGATACACCCGGCTTACCATCTAGCGGAAGGTTTCGGAAAGGTGAAAAAACATATATTTAATACTTTACTTGTTCGTTCTCATTTCGGGACCAGCTAGTTCCGGGCTTTTTCAGGGCCAGTTCCGGACTTGGTCGGGATAATTTGGAAACTAGCTCGATACCGGAAAATGGTAGAGAAGAATTTAGGTAGTTTCATCTTCATCCTCATCCATCTATCTCCCGAAGCAGTCATTCTAAGGCCCGCTGATAATTTCATTAACTTTGCACTTTAGTCTCATTCCAGACCTCTCGAATAACTTCTACCTTGTTGAACATGCCTTGATTCTAACCTAAAAATACATTTTTGCAATTTTATGGATTTTAAATATTTCAACGAAGTCCTCATTAAAAACCAGTAAAGCAAATATATTATTGTTTTTGCCATGTTCCATTGCTGACACACATAAAAAGTGAAACTTTTTTATTTATCAGAATTATCCAAAAAATTAAGTACTAACCTGCAAAAAAGGATATATATGTACTCGTATTTAATTTTTTCTTAAATAGTCGTGTTATATTACTGTATTTTTTCCATCTCTATATATTTACATAATGTTTGATTAATTAATTTAATTAAACATAGTATTATTTGCAATCAATTACCAACTCAACACCACAAAGATGAAAAAGGCAAAAAGCGAGTTTGAAATGACAAAAATAATAGGATTATTCCAGCAAAAAAAAAAGAATATTTTTTGGCGTTTTGCGTTTGCTCATAGTATATATGTTTGTATATACTAATGTTGGTCATCAGTGTTACAGTTGAAAAGTCTTTAAATGTCACAGTTAAAAGGGCAACGCGAAAAATCACATAATTGGATGGCTTTATTTAACCTGTATAATGAAAAATAATTCACAGTTTAAAACCAAACAACAACAAAAAAATATGTAACATAAAAATACATATATAATACATAAAATCGCGGTTTATATCACGGAATTTTCAAAATTGAAAAAAATAACTTTTTTAAAATCGCGAATATTTGACATAATTTTGACCCTTACTAGCTATAACTCAGCTCAGAAAAAGTTTCAAAATTTTTGCAATTTTGTAATTTCAATTTTTTTCTACTCTGGTAGCCATCCACAAAAAAATTTTTAACTTTTTAAACATTCGCGAATATCTTTATTTTTTACTTAGAACGAAATAAAGGGTTGCCTCATAAAAAATTTGGGTGTCGATATTTTAAGGACTACCCGAATTTAATCAGCAGCATGTAGCACCTACGAATACATAATTCAAACTGTAAAATAAGAAGTTTCTTGTCTTGGTTAAATCTGAACCCCAAGAAGTTTCAAATAGCCATTTTCTCAGGAAAAGGAATCAATTGCCAGAGCCATGCTTTCAAAGAGAGGTTAAATATCAGGGAGTTATTCTTGTTGGAAAGCACTCCTGAAATCCGCACCTATGTAGACAAATCTATTCAAAAGGCCAGGGCTCGACTAATGGGGCGAAATTGGGCGTATGATGCCATCTGCAAACCCATTCTAACTTATGAATTGAAATCCCCGCAGACCAAACTAAGTAAACTGCAACGACTAGATTGCGTGAGCGTCACTTACGCGATGAAAACAACACCAACCACGGCTCGCGATATGCCTATTGGCCCGCCTGCCCTACACATTTTAATCAAGAAAGAGGCTCTGCCGTTTACAGCGAGAGGATAACCAAATTCGGTATAGCGACGGCTTCAAGACTTACCACACTGTCGCAGCATGAGACTACAGCATACATGTACATTCACTCGTAAGCAAAGCGGCGATCCCCGCTCTTTAAAGGCACGAGATCACCTCAAAGCTGGGACATAGCGGAGTCATGCGCAATGAAGAAGCCGATATTCTTGCCAGAAAAGGAGCTGCACAGGGATTCGTAGGACCAGGACTCTTTATTGCATTATTAAGCAGTGCACAGTATGTGGCACTGGGAAGTCCAGACCAGGGCCAGGCTTCGATTTCTAGGTTTACCGTATATTTAAATGCAAGATTTTGAATATAAAAAGACCCAGTCAGTGACACGATGGTAATATTGATAAACATATGTTAACGTATTTTTAATTAGTGCCAACATTTAATTGAACAATTCAAAAAAAAAAAAAATTGGTATCAAACTTTAACTTTTTGTTACATTTAATACATACATACGAGTGTTTCATTATTTCCAATTTTGTTACATCTAACTTAATTCTTCTACGGCTGTATAGCTATTTTTCTCCCTCCATGCCGTAGATTATAGAATACACAATACATATCGTTGGCTGAATTGCAAAAGGCCGTAACTAGCAAAAAATCCAAAATTCACTT